CGCCCCACCTCCCTTGGCCACACAGGAAACCACTTGGTGGGCACCACCTTTGGCCGCTTCTTGTGGGGAAGGGGGTGGGCTTCAGCCCCCAGACTTAAGGCCCCCAGCTGCCCTTGGAGGCCGAGGGGAAGCGGGGCCTCGTCTGCTTGTGCACCCTTGGGATCCCTTTTCCCTAAGGCTGCCCCTCTAGCCAGGCCCCACGAGGAGTGCTCGGGGCTACAGAGCCCACGTGGGACTCTGGGACATTTCCGGGCAGCTTCCCAAAGGCTGTGCGGAGCCATGACCTGGGTGTGCCTGGGGGCTTCTCAGACCACCCTGCTCTCTCACCCACCTCCCGTACCAAGGAAGTCGGGAGCGCAGGGAGGGCCTGCCGGACCCCGCAACACCGCAGGGCTGGGCTCAGTGTCCGTGTCCGGATCAGCCTGCGAGGAGGCTGCGGGGAGCCCTTGCCAGGAATGCCAGGCCCTTGCCAGGAATGCCAGTTGGCCGTGCCATCTCCCCCAGGCGGGGAGGACAGCCCAGCGTGGGGCAGGACCCTCCCAAGTGGGAAAGACAGGAGAGGCTGAACGAACCCACTGACTGCAAGAGCTCGAGGGAAGGGACATGGGAGGCTGCCAGGCGGCAGGACCTGTGTGCCCCACCCCCCAGGCCGACGCCTTCTGACCCTCCAACCCCTCTGCATGTGCCTGGCCCCAAGCCACCAGCTTTCCATGGAACATCTGCAGGGACCTGGATTGGCACCGAGGGGACCCTCAGACGGGGAAGGGGCAGTGTGTCCACCCTTGGCCCTCAGGCCCCCTGGCCCTGCCCGCGGGCCATCCTGTCCAGCATTCTGTGGCCACCGGCCCCTCCTGCCCGTCTCCCGGCCGCGTGTGTCCATGGGGCGAGGAGGGTGGACGTTGCCGTGAGCACCTCGGCCCCACAGGACCAGCTCCCGGGGCCCAGCCCCCCAGTCCACTGTGCCGGCAGCCCACAGACCCGGCCCAGCCCCTCAAGCGGGTCCCATGGCACCAGTCCCCGCTGGCCAGCTGCCCCGGTCCCGCCGCCCTGGCACAGGAAGGGGCCGGCCAGTCCTGTTAGCATGCCTGGTTTTTCCTTCTTTATTAAATGACTGTCTCGAGATGTAATTACAGTTGAAGGTGACATGTTAGAAAGGATAGGTGCACTGAAAGCAGAAGAGTGCTCGCAGGCCCGGCTCGAACAGGGAGAGGAGGAACAAGATTAAAAAGGTGTGAGCCAGGCGGCCCGGGACGGGCAGGTGGGCAACTGCCCCAGCTCGGCCTCGCGGAGCCAGGGCGGGCGGCCCCCAAGAGAGGCCTGGCTGGGCGGAAGGACCCTGCCCTGCAGTCCCCGAGGCCCTGGGCCCGGCTCCACTTGCACACGCCACCTACGCGTGACGCCGGTCCCGGAAGGGTAACGGGAGAGTTCAGCACAAAACCAGAACCTCGCGATGAGAAGGCCAAGTGGAGCAGAGTAGTAGGGGACGGTATATACACGGCGGCGCCCGCGGGCCGGTGCCGAGCGGGCCTCAGTACACAGAGCTGTTCCGGATGCCGCAGCACAGCACCATGCTCAGAATCATCTCGAAGATCTGCAGGGAGGGTGGCACGGTCAGCGCCAGGGCCGGGGAGGGGCCGCCCCGGGCAGAGGCCGCGCCCGCCCTCACCATGATCACGGCGACCACGATGGCCGCGATGCCGATGAGGTACAGCTTCCCCGAGAAGAGGTCGTCGATCTTCTGGTGGCAGTCCTCCTGCGGGCGGCCAGCACCGTCAGGGGGGCCGCGGCTCCCTGCCCCCTTGGGTCTCGAAGCCCTCCGAGTCAGGGCAGGGAGCGCATGGAGGGGACTGCGGCTGCAACCCTGGGTCTGTCTTCCATGCGTTTTCAAATAAACCCCAACACCCCGACACACGGCTGGACCCCTCGAGGGTCCCCCACTGAGGTCAGGATTGTGGTGTCATGAGTGGCCTAAAGTGTCACGGGGTGCCCACATGGGTATCACCCGCCACCGCCTCCCAGCACCACCAGCTCCGCCCCTAACCCAGGGGGCCAGGGACCTCGCCACCCATGTGGGGCTCTCACCTCCTGGACCTCGCCACCCGTGTGGGACTCACCTCCTGGACCTCTCACCTCCAGCCTCCGTCCTCTTCATAGGGACTGTGTGGCCCACCCTACCCTCCAGGCCCAGCAGCCAGCCCTGACAGAGGCCACGGGCCACCCTGTGCGGCTGCTCCCCGCGAGGGCCAGCCGGCCCTGCACGGCCCGCCCCCACGCACCTTCAGGACGTTACTGATGACGGTGCTGCCCGAGGGGCACAGGCTGTTCTTCAGCATCGAGGTGGTGATGGCAGACAGCGAGCTGGAGCCACAGCAGTTGAGCTGTGGGGACCGAGGGCACAGTCAGTCCGGACACCGTGGGAGACGGCAGGCACAGCTCAGGGGCCGGAGGAGCTGGGCAGAGCGTCACACCCCAGCCCGAAACGCGCCCCACGGCCCGCCTGTCCACTCAGTCACCCCCTCAGGCCTGGGCTGAGCCAGACACATCCACGGGGACAGCCCCCTGCCACCCCGGCCCCGGGCCCCCAGTCGCACCGTCTCATGGAAGGTCTTCACCACGGCCTTGGCGTTGCTGGCGTCGTCGTCCACGATGGCCTGCTGCAGGGCCTGGTCGTAGAACTGCTTCACGTCCTTGGCGATCTGCAGGGAGGGTGGTCACACGCCCCGCCCGAACCAGTCCCGGGCACGTCTTCTCCCACTCCCCCGGAGGGTTGTCTCCAGGACAGACCCGGTGGGATGTCTGTTCTCTCAGCCGCCCCCAGGAGGCTGCGACCCGGGAGGCCGGCCCTGATGCCACCTCCGAGCAGCCCTTGGAAACCTTCCTGGCAGGTGGCCCAGGGAGCCCCCAGGGCACCCCACGGACCACAGGTCAGACAAGTCATCTCACGCCCTGAGCAGCCCTCCCACCCGCCGGGCCCGGGGTCGCAAGCTCACTTGGTCTTTGTTGACAAAGCCCCAGATGCCGGCGGCCACCTCACAGGCAAACAGGATGACCAGGCAGGTGAAGAACTGGAAGCCGCACGGTGCCCAGGGAGAGACGGAGAGGGGTCAGGCTGTGTCCCAGGTGTCCCGTGTGTGGGAGGGGGCGGCGCCCTCCACCAACCCACATCCCGACCAGAGCCAGCTGGGGGTCCAGGAAGGGCAGAGCCTCACACCCAGCCCAGGGACGCTCGTTGCCCCACACGGGACGGGGGGCGGCAACGGGGTCATGGGGCCAGGGTGGCCGCAGCCCCGGGGGAGGCACGTCAGCAGTGCACCCCCGACGCGGACCCTGCCTCCCCCATCCCGTTTCTCCCACCCCTCTGGGAAGAGGGCTGTGTCTGTTTCCCCACGGGAGACCCTGGCACAGGCTCCCCCTACCGGACCGGCCAGGCCCTGGATGGCACTGCCTCCCCGCAGGGGGTGGTGTGCCCAGGAACAGCCAAGGGTGGCCATGGGACCAAGACCGCTCCCTGCTATGTCTGTGGCTCTTTGTTAAAGAGAAAAAGGCCACTTTGGGACTGAGGGACGAGACGTAATGGAGGCGAACCCTGGTGGGCTTCCGTTAAAAAAAACAAACAGGAAAGCCAGAGCGCAGGGACCATGACTCCACCCAGGGCCAGCCAGGCAGGGGCGGCGCCCGCGCTCCACGCCAAGGCCTGCCTCTGTGCCCACCCTGCCCCCTCCCGGCTGGGTGCAGCCCCGCGGCCCTGCGGAGGCCAGCCTCCCCGCCTCACCGTCCCCAGCAGGCACTGGGACTCCTGTATGGCCCCGTAGCAGCCCAGGAAGCCAACGAACATCATCACGGCGCCCACGGCGATGAGAATGTAGATACCTTGGGGGGAGAGGGAGCCCAGGTGAGCCGCCGCCCCCGACGGCACCACGGAGCCCAGCAGCAGGGGGCCCGGCCTGGCTCGGCCTGGCCACGGAAGCCCCACTCTCTGTGCCTCAGTTTCCTACTCCATGACGTGGGAGGCAGACCAGGGAAGTGGGGGCAAGGACTGAACGGCATCTCCTAAGTGCCCAGAGCACCAGGGACCCCAGCTCCACGCAGATGCAGCCCGCAGCGTGGACACCCAAGGACTGCACCCAGAGCCGCAGGGACCCGGTGTGGGGGGCTGAGGGGGCCGCCCATCTTGGTGTGGGAGTGACGGCCAGAAGCCACGCGGTGGGCCCAGCGGCAGGGAGGGTGATGGGACGGACGTGACTCCCGGCGACAGTGGGTGGAGGCCTGGCGGGCTTCCTGCCCGAGCCAGCCATGCGGCGGGCTCACCACTTGCCCAGGACCTCAGGCCCAGTGTTTGAGCTCAGCCACTCTGCGTGGCTGTGGCCCCAGCCCTGGGCCTGAAGCTTGCGGTGGGTGCAGCAGCGGGGCAGCTGGAGAGCAGGCAGGACGAGCCTCCATGCCCGGCCTGGCCAGCACCCCGGGCTGGGCAGCACCTGCTGGGGAGGCAGAAGGAGCCCCCGAGGCGGGACGCACTGTGCGCCCAGGGCCACTCTGACGCCCTGGGTGCCATGGCCACCCAGACAGGGCCCACGCCCCTCGCGAAGCGCAGACCGTGTCCCCAGGGTCCCCCCAGGCCTCTGGTCCCTCAGCTGACGCAGCCCATCCCCCGGTCGTCAGGGCGACGCTGACGGTGGCCCAAGCCTCCCTCCACACAGCCAGGCCATTGTCCCCTGCCTGGCCAGTCCCGGGAGAAGGCGCCTGGGGTGGGGCCCAGCACCGGGCACAGAATACATGCTAGATCTGCGGCTCGCCTCCGGGTCTCTTCCCGGGCAGAGGAAGCCTCCGCCAGGAACCCCTCGGGACTGCATCCTGGAGCCAGGGCATCCCCCCTCAGTCTCCGACACCCGCTGCCCTCGAGATGCGGCAGGCCCCCGGCCCCCTTCATCGTGTCCCTGGTTCAGGTTCACGGTGTTATGCAGCGGGTGGGGGGGAAACACTTCGGTTTTGGCTGTGGAGGGTCCTGCAGGGGCGGGAGTCCCAGGTCCAAGGCGCCCACCGCCCTGCTAGGTCCCGTCCCCAGATTGCCACGTAAAGCCTGGGCCTGGCCCACCCACCCTGCAGCGTTTTTGAGGGGTGCTGAATGAGCCCAGCAAGCCCCCACTCCCTGCAGGGGACAAAGAGCCTTTGTGAGGCCTGCAACTGCTTCTCGGCTCAGCACACCGGGGACCGGGGGCTCCCGGAAGGCCGGTCTGGGGTGGGCAGGACTCGGTGGCCAGAGGGGCTCTGGGGTTCCCATCCACCAGGGACACGGCAGCGCCGTCTGGGGCCCGCGGGCCCTGCTGTCATGTGACCAGCCTGCTCAGCGGTCCAGCCAGACCCTCTCCCAAGGGCAGGACCCAGGAAGCCACAACTGAGACCAAGCGGGTATGTGGCCCCAGGGCTGGAGGCCTGAAGCCGCTGTGGTTAGGCCACGCTGGTCACACAGCTGCTTCCCTCCACATACCTCATCTGGGTGCAGTGGGGCCAGCTGTGAGCCCCTCTCTCCTCACCCCTCTCCGGGCCAGACAACCCCAGACCCTGCTTCCGCTGCGGCCAGGAACTAGTGCACCCGCCAGGCTGCCCCTGCCCTGGGGAGAACCTTCAACTCCCCTCCGCCACGCCAGGCCAAGTGAGGCTGGGTGGCCGAGTGCCGAGGAGAGCAAGCCCTTCCGAAAACGTCCACCCCAGGCTGCCTAAGTGGATAGCTGCAAAGCCACACGCCCGTTGCACCCAGGCCCGACTGGAGAATGGGGAGGATGTGTGGAACGGCCTCTCTCTGTCATCTGGGAGGCCCTCTGGACTCCGAATACTCTCGTGATCTGGGACGGGAAGAGGAGGCAGGGCGGGGCCGCCCCAGGCAGAAACACCCCACAGGGCTGGGAGGATGCCGCCGGCCCAGACACGTGGGCACAGCTGAGGGTCTGCATCCGAGGACGGGCAGGAGCACCCGGCCATGTGCAGCGGGGTGGTCTCCAGGAGGGCAGGAGCCCGTGGGCAGGACCACAGGGCCCTCCCGGGATCAGCTGGCTCGGAACCTTGGGAACTGCAGGGGCCTATCTCCTGTTGATGGATGGACGCCAGCTCCGTCCAGCTTACCCGTGGGGAGACTGAGGCCCAGAGAGGATCATGGGCAGGGCAGGAAGGAATAGGCACCCCCGAGTGCCCAGAGCTCTTGCTGGCCCTGGTGCATCTGGGTAGACAGGACAGTGAGAGTGTAGGGCCGTTTCTGACCCCCTGGACCCCGGCACAGCAACCAAGACAAGCGGTCTCCAGGTTGGCCTGGTTGAGGGGGACCCGCCCTGGGCCTGGGGGGCAGCTGCCAGCCCCAGCTGGCAGCCTCAGCCCCGGGGACACACAGGCAGCCTGTGGGGGTGGCAGGGCCATCCCAGGGGCCCCGCCTTCCAAGGACAGAATCATCTCAACAAACACTCTCAGCGCTCCACTCGTGCCAGGCCCGGCCCCACCTCCCACCAGGCCCAGGGGGTGGGGGTGCTGCTTGGACAGCGGGCAGGCCTCCTCCTCCTCCTCCTCATCCCTGCCCGAGGTGGGCGGGGAGGGCGGCCCAGGCCCCACAGGCAGCCGAATAAGGCAGCAAGGTGCGGGGCCTGTCGGGGGGCTGGGTGGCTGAGTCACTCGGCCTCCAGGCTCCAGCTGTCGCCCGGCATCCAACCCCACCCCGCCCAGGGAGCCTCCCCGAAATACCCGCTTAAAATAAGCAAGGTCTTGACACGACTCCCCCGCCTGCGAGTGCCGGCCGCCCTCCCACCCGGCTCAGCCCAGAGGAGAGCTGGGGCCCCACAGGCCACCGCGGTCTCAACCTTGTGCCCAAAGAGCCCTTTCCAGCTGGCCGTCTCCCCCCACAGAACACACCGTGCCCAGCAGCCTCCTTTCCCTGCCACTTCCCATGTCCCTGAGACCCTACCCAACTGAATCAGGCCCCACCGCCTCCTGGAAGCCCTCCCTGACTGCCTGTCTGCCTCCGTCCCCCTAGCCTGTGCTTGGCCCCTGCCCTGCATGTCTACTCACCCACGTAGAAGGTGTTGGGTGCGGGCCTGTCTCCCAGCTCCAGGTAGAGGAGGTTGGTGGTCTGCGGGTCATGGCGGAGCCACAGGGCCACGCCCAGGATCACGCCTCCAGCCAGCTGGGGAGAGAGCAGGTGTGGCGTCACGTACAGCCGCGAGTGCGGGCCCACGCCCCACAGCCCAGCTGAGCCATGTGGTGACCTGCCCAGCCACCTGCTGGCTGCAGCGCTGGGACCCCACGTTGCTCTGCGCCTTGGTGTCTGAAAGGCGTCGAGAGCCCTGGGGACCGGGGCCACGTGGACGCAGGACAGTGGCTGGCGGTCTGCCTCAGACAGACAACGGAAGCCCCCTGGTGTGACTGCCCCAGACACTGAGCAGGATGGGCAGGTGCAAAAGCCTGGTGTCTGCCTGAAGTTCAAGGCTGCCTCGATGCCCTGCATCTCTATTGGCCACGTCTGGCCACAGGCCACAGCGGTGCTGCCCCGGCAGCTTGTTCAGGGCCTGCCTGGGGGCGCTGAGGACCCGGGGTGGCAGCGCCCCCGCCCTTGCTGCCAGGCAGGAGGTGAGGCCTTGGTGCCGCCGTGGGGACCCGTCCCGGGCGGCTTGTGGATCAATCCCCGCGGTCCTCATCCCAGAACAGACTCTCGCATGAAAGAAGCGGGACGGCGGTCTTAGCCGGTTCCTTGTGACGTCTCGAAGCGAGACAGGGCTGCTGATGAGGCTCTGTATCACCACATGCCTCTCTGGAGGGATCAAGGCTCCATTTCTCTCATATCCCTCGGTCCTCCCCAGAGTCCATTATCTCTCAATCAGTATTGAAGTCTATCCCCAA